TTTTAATTTAAAAGTGAACCATTAAAAGGTCTTCTCAACAAAAACACATGCTGGAACAAACCAGTTCTATGACTGGTCTCTAACAGTATTCTATTCCAAGCTCTTCACAGAAGAGCAACACCCAAATTGATCCTAATGTACTTGCTAAGATGCAATACCATTGTGACACTGAGCCAATGAGGGTTAAGCAGCCAGCAGGCTAAGTGACCCAAAATCAACCTTTAGGACATATTAGAAAAGTATTGAAATGGTAACCAGGGCCATTCCTTGTAGATGGTTATCAAAGCCATATTAAATAGATGAGTTCTGTGTTGTTGGAGAATTAGAAGAGGATACTAATTGTATTTATGTTTACCTAGATCTATTAGAAGTATAACAATGTGATCTAATTAACTTTTAGATGCTAAACTTCTGTTCCTGTTTGTAACGTTTCATTACTATATTCTATTAATTGAGAGATCAAAAGGGATATTAACATTTAGATGAAACTGTTGGTGCAATAATATCATTGTCTTTATTTCTCTTTGAAGTTTGTAGTAAGCTACCTATGAACCTTTCAAAGGTTAATTGCCTTATGCTAATCAGTGAATCAGTGACAGTGAATCAGTCCTAAATAGCTGGGGGATGAGAAATCTGACCAGTAGGCAAGAGGAGATTAGTTTTCAACATCAAAGGGAAGAGAGGACACATGCAATATCTTTGGTGGTTCAACAAATATTGTTTAATTATGTAGATTTGGGGGGGGGATGGGTGGAGGAAGAGTGTGTGTGTGTGTGTGTGTGTGTGTGTGTGTGTGTGTGTCCTCGAGATGGCTAACAAAATCAGAGTTTGGGATAAACTATAGGGGAAAAATTATGTATAAAAATAGTAAGACTTTAAGTGATACAATCAATGACTATGACTGCACTGTAATGTGCAAAACGGCAAAATTAAGGTTGCATATGCTCTTAACTCTGGAACTTCTTGACATTCTGAGCACTTTTCAGTGTATAACCAGCTATTAAGGTTACATGGATAAGTGACTTTATAATAATGCTATTGTGAGGTTCCATGTTTCTGTATAAATTGTGCAAATTTGAATCACTGTTGGCAGTGATCCATAAACTGTTTACTTGGTCATTTCAACAGAAAATGAACTGCCTGACAAGGTCGTCTGGGTGACAGGAGCCTCAAGTGGAATTGGAGAAGAGTTAGCTTACCAGCTAGCAAAGATAGGGGCTCTAGTTGTGCTTTCCGCAAGAAGAGAGAATGAATTGGAAAGGGTGAAACAGAAGTGTCTTGGTAAGTAAAAAAGTAACTTCCATGTTATTGATTTGGCTTTTGCCATGATAGAGGTGTTGTAAAAAAAACTTAATCCATACAACAGGAATAAATTCATAATTAAAGGTAGTTATGAACTTACATTATTATAACCTAGATGCTTTTCTTTGAGTTGTGTATTCTTAGAACATGTATTTTAGAAAGCTCCAACTGAAGGATGCAATGTTACAGGAGCAGTAAATGAAAAATGTTTACGTGCTAAAGTTGCAGATGCATAGGTACCTAGTGGGATTGTCAAAAACACTTATCTGCAGTTTTAAGCAACTAGGCAGTCTGGGCCTTTTTTTCCTCTTGAAAATAAGAGGCTGTTTTCAAAAGGAACACAAGGGCACTGTGCCAGCAGGGTGGGGTCATGTGGAAATTCTGGCAGGCAAGATGTGCAGCTAAACTTGCCTTTGTGGCAGTTTGTGATCTTCAGCACTATCTTATAGCACCTAAACGTCTTGGTAGCTGTAACCAGCTCCTACTCCCTGTTACAGATGGGTATGAGGCTATGCTGTTGTGTAGACATGGCCTCACTAAACAACAGAAACATTCAGGTGTCCAGTCTGCCTTCAACATGTTTGAACAGGGTAACAGCAAGATTGCACAGGTGTCCCTGAGGAAATCGTTTACCCTGCAGAATATTTTACTGGTGTTGATGAATGAAATGCCAACAGCAGTGGCTTCAGTCTCAACAAAATGGGGTTACTGCATCCAGGTGCACAAGTAGGGACTCTGCATTTGTGGCAAAGGTTATGTCTCTAATGAAAAAACACTTGTTGGGAGCAGGGACAAGGTCCAACACAGTATTTGCCCAGCATTGTGGAAAGAAGATTCAGTCTAGCCTGCATATATTGGATTGCTATAAATGTAATCATTAACAAATCGTGCTGCAGCCCTCTACTTTCTCGATAGTGTGCAGATGAGGGAAGGAGAAAGATGAATGTCGTTATGGCCCAGAAACAATCCAAGATGAAAGAGAATTAGTTACCAGGTGGAGTCTAATTAAAAACATTTAAAACGCACAAAAATAGACATTAAGATGTGGGGAAGGGGAATAATTTTGTTGCCTTTGCTGTGTGAAGAAGACTCCCAAGCCACTATTTAGGAAGCAAGCTCAGTGCAAGGGTGAGAGAGGTCAGTTTTTCAAAATAAATAGAAAAGCTGATGCATTCAGCATGAAGACTTGGAATTGATGGCACTTGGCTTTGCTAACGTATTCATCAGCCTGAAAGCATCCTAAAGAGCATTCAATGTAATAAACAGACCTATGTGATGCAATAGTGAAGATATCTTATGAGCTGCATTTAAGCCTCCTCAAATCCTTCTTCATAACAAAGAAATTAGCAAACGCAAGTGTTCTGCTTTACCATAAAGTACTATTAACAAAAGAAATGGCAGCTTGACAGTGAGGGACTGGGGGTTGGTCCAGGAGAGGTGGTGTCTATAGGGTACATCCCCTGCCCTCTCCCAAAGAGTGTGGATTCACTGGCTCAAGCTGATGAAACTGCTCAGAATGACAGGATTGGCTCAGACATTTTGGGATCTGTGGTTGGCATGGAACAAACTCGGGCTAGCTTTACACTAAAACTTTCTGGTGCTTAATTAGAAGCAGAAAGTTGTCAGCACACATTTTAAGCCATATAATCCAAGCGCACTTGATGTGGAAACTGAGACAGACAAACCCACTTTTGAGGATGGAACCACATCTTAATGTATAAGAGGGAAGCCAGTTTAAATTATTGAACATCTATGCCATTTGCTTAGTACTTGGTTTGCCAACTAAAACTCTCTAACAAAAATAGTTGGGGGGCGGGGGTTATGTTTACATGCTTCCTTTCTCTCCTATTGAAAGGAAAAGAACCAGTCTTCTGAAAATATACTGTCTGAATGGCCTCGCAATAAGGCCAGCATATGTGGTTCATTAGTGATAGGATGCCTTGGAACACTGAATGGCCTTTTGATGCTTTTCTTATTCTTGTGGGAAGTACTTCAGATCATTCATGTGTTTCCCAGGCAGAGGGCATTAAAAAAGCCACTGAAGTCACCTCAACCTTCCCTGACTCTCTGGTTCTTGTCCGTTAGCCTTACAAGTTTACTGGGATTTGATCTCAAGTGACCTTAACGTTTGTTTTGTGTCTGTGTCTCTCTCTCTCGCTTTGTAAAACTTCAAAGTAACGCTTAATATCTGAGGGCTTGCCCAGATGTCAAATTAATGTGTGGCAAGCCCAGGTGTGAATCTACTGTGCACCAGCTTGCCATGTGAATGAGGCCTTACTCCCCATGAAACTCATGAGCTCTAGTGGTTACGCTTGTGAATTTTCCACTGTGCCTTATTTTTCATGACTATATACAGCAGGGATCTCAAATTCCAATCACCATGAGGACCACACGAGGACTAGTACATTGGCCCGAGGGCCGCACCACTGACACCTTTTCATATAAACGTACAAAAGCCCTCCCCCTCGCCTCGGGCCCTGCCCCCACTCCACCCCTTCCATGAGGCCCTGCCCCTGCCGTGCCTCTTCCAACCCCTTCCCCAAAGTCCCCACCCTAACTCCACCCCCTCCCTGCCTCTATTCCACTCCCTCCCCCAAATTCCTGCCTCTTCTCCACCTCCTCCCCCTCCCTCCTGGAAAGTGCTAAGCGCTACCAAACAGCTGTTCGGTGGCAGGAAGCACCGGGAGGTAGGCAGAGGAGCGGGGACACAGCGTGCTGGAGGGGAGGGTGATGGGTGGGGGGAGCTTGGTGGCTGAAGGAAATGCGGCCTGCGTGTTTGAGACCCTTGCTATACAGTAACTCCTCAATGTTGTAGTTATGTTCCTGAAAAATGTGACTTTATGTAAAATGATGTTAAGCAAATCCAATTTCCCCATAAGAATTAATGTAAATGGGGAGGGGGGTTAGGTTCCAGGGAATTTTTTTTTTTTTGCCAGACAAGACATTATATATGGTGTAAGTTTTAAACAAAGTTTAATATTGTACACAGCAATGAATGACTGTGAAGCTTGGCTGAGATGGATTAAGAGGGTGGAATATTTCCCAGGAAATGCCTTGCTGCTAAATGATGAACCAGCACTCAGCTGAGCCCTCAAGGGTTAATAAGCTGTTGTTAATGTAGCCTCACATTCTGCAAGGCAGCATGGACTGAGGCAGGAGGAAGGAAACACAGTAGATGCAGGGCAGTAGCTGCAAACACTTCCCTGCAAAATCTGAACATGGTGATGAACCCACACTGTTCAGCTGGAGCGCACCACTCCCTCCTCCTGACAGCACATGCACAGCTGCACAGGTGCTGACTTTTTCCGAAGTGCTGGGGGGTGCGTGCATGAGAGAGAGAGAGAGAGGTGCATTGCCCCTTTAAGTATGCTGACTCCACTTCAAGTTTGTTGCCCTTTTAAGCAGATCAGACAGGAAGCAACAGCTTCTAGCCAGCTCCCTCCTTTCTATCCCTCTCCTCTGCTTTGTGGAGAGGGGGTACAGAGTGGGGGGGGGACCCCCAGATAACCGCCCCCCTCCCCCCCCCCCCCCCCCCCCCAGCAAGCAAGAAGCTCCCCGGAGCAGCTCCAAAGAAGAGGGCAGGTCAGGAGCAGCACAGCAGTGCGGGGAGGGACAGCTCAACTGCTGCTGAGCAGTTGCCGAGCCACATGCCTTATAGGGAATTTAGGGGAGCTGATTGGGGCGGGGGGGGGGGTTTCTAATCCCCCACAAGGAGGGGCTGCTCTTCCAGAGAATCCTGCAAGCAGTGGACCTGGCAGACAGCTGCCAAACGACATACGGGAGTATTGCATAACTTTAAAGGAGCTTATTCCCGTAATACAGATTTTATTTTAATCCTTTCTGCCTTGAAAGTCATATAGCAGTAACCATATTCAAGGTTCTTCAGCCTCTGGCTCAGGTATTGTGTATGTAGGTTGGCCATTACCTCCCCCTGGCCCTCTTGGAGAGGACAATACCCTGCATGCTCTCAGGAATGCACACAGCTGAACAGTTTAACCTACAGGCAAAATGTGAAGGATCATGATACTCTGTGCTTCTGAAGGCCTTTGTTAAAATCTTAATTTAAAAAAACATATTGCAGTGGTTATAAGGTATGTGTAAATTCCTTGTAGACTGGAGTGTGTTGGTATGTTGTTCAAGGTACACAAACCCATTTCATTTAATAAGATAGTACTTTGTGTTGGTACTGTTATGATAGCATTCCATTAGCTGATTCAGTGTTTGAGGAAACAAAATCTGTTCCCTTTCCACTTAATGGAATTTCCTTTTTGGAAGCTGTGTTGGTGGTGAGGCTGTTGGATTTACTTATTTTAAAATATCAGGAATTAAATGTGCCTTATTGGTATTTTGTCTGGAATGCTCCGTTTAAATACTTTCTTTTACTTTAGAGATCTCCAGCTTGAGCAGTAAAGATATCCTTGTTTTGCCCCTTGATTTGACTGATAGAAGCTCCCATGAAGCTGCAACTAAAACCATTCTTCAGCACTTTGGCAGAGTGAGTTGAATTTTGGGCTGAGGCCTTCCCACCCCCATCCCTCCACCTTTATTCTTTGGTTTTGTTTGAATTTCCAGTAATTCAGCAAAGTTGGTTACCCATATTTTTGTGTGTGTGTGTGTGTGTGTGTGTGTGTGTGTGTGTGTGTGTGTGTGT